TCCATCCCCTAGGTCAGTGGTTCTCAACCTTCCTGATGCTGTGACCTTTTAATACTGTACCTCATGTTGTGCTGATTTCCAGCTATAAAATTAATTTTGTTGTTACTTCATTACTATAATTTTGCTAATGTTATCAATCATAATGTAAATATTTGATATGCAGGATATCTTCTATACAACCTCTGTGAAAGGGTCGTTTGACCCTCTGTGTACTGGCTGGTTTTGTGTGTCAGCTTGACACAAGGTAGTCATCAGAGAGGAAGGAGACTTAGTTGAGGAAAGGCCTCCATGAGATCTAACTGTAAGGCCTTTCCTCAATTAGTGATCAATGTGGGAGGGCCCAGCCTGTGATGGGAGGATGCCATCCCTGGGCTGGTAGTCCTGGGCTCTATAAGAAAGCAGGCTGAGGAAGCCAGGGGAAGCAAGCCAATAAGCAGCACCCCTCCATGGCCTCTGTATCAGATCCTGCCTCTAGAATCCTGCCCTGTTTGAGTTCCTGTTCTGATGTCCTTCAGTGGTGAACAATAATGTGGAAGCATAAGCCAAATGAAGTTTCCTTCCCAACTTGCTTTTTGGTCATGGTATTTCATCATAGCAATAGAAACCCTCACCAAGACACTGTGAAAGGTGCCACAACCCACAGGTTAAGAACCCCTGACCTAGAAGATTCTTTGTAGCCCCATGATTCAAAAATACCAACTGTACTCTAGACTTTTGCATCCACTCAGCAGTTTCATAGGCATGGCTCAGTAAACACGTAATATATGATGAACCCTTATTTCCAATTTTATTCCAATTGTCCTACCCATAGCTTGGATCCTAAGGATACATGTGGTAAAGATTTACTCCCTGGGCAGAGTTGGGGGTACTGGAGAGTAAACAGAGCTTTTCAAAGGTAGAACTTAGTGGGAAGCCTTGAGGTTGTTGGTTGCATATTCTTGAGAATTGTGGTCCCTTAGTCTCTGTATTCTTTTGCTTCTGACTACAAGTTAAATGGATGGTCCTCTGGAGCACAGCTCCTACCACATGCCCAAGGCAAGGAGGCCATCTGATCATGTGCTAAAATTTCTAAACTTAGGAGCCCAAACATTTTCTCTCAAGTGTATGTTATAGCAATGAACGCACCGTCTTAGTAAGTGGTACCTACCATGTGTTCACCAGAAGCTCAGTCTGTCCTGGATTTCTCTCTCACCTACAGCAGGTTTAATCCACCAACACAGTGTGTTAAAATATCCCTGTGGTGCTCACTGTCTCAACTAAAACATTCTAGTAAGACAACTTTTACTTCTCACTGGAAATATTATAATGTCTGTGAACTGATATCTCTGCATCTCACATAATCTCATGTTCTCCACACGATGACAACTAAGATGTATTGTTGTTCAGAAAGGTGGGTGCCAGGAACATTACCAAGGTGCTCTGCAGCAGGAGTCAGAAGTCTGAACACTTTTGCTTTTAACTTCTTTGGTTCATGTTTCTTTTGTTAACATCACAATGGCTACCAAATAGCTTGCCAAGACTCTTGCCATGGTTTGGTTATCATCAAGGTCATAAACACCGGTCAGTCTAGTCTAAATATGACTTTGGTATCTGCTATGGGCATTTCTAGCCAAATCTACTTTAGAGTATCAAGTTAGCTTGATGTTACTAAAGAAGTAGTGATGTGACTATAATAATTTTTTAATGAAGATTGACGTTTAGATTTTAGTTCGCATCAAACTTCACAGATTGCTAGTGTATGTGTGTTCATGTGTGTACCTTTAGTACATTGTAATCAAGGATAATCTGCTTTGGTATTTTTGAAAACAATGCCATCCAAAATAATACCACTTAAAAGTGTTGAGTACATAAAATATATTATTTATTTTTTAGAATTTAATGTTATAGTCATGTAATGTTATTTGTATTTTCTATATTCAGTCTGAATTCATGAACTGAAAGGGTGGATTAAATTCAGCAACTACAGTGTATTTCTATTTATATCATTTGTGACTTCTGCTGTATGAATTGCATTTCTCTTTTTACTTGTTACTTATACATTTATGTTCACTTGGATTTATTTTATTCATTATATCAAATTTATTTATAACTTGTATATTTATATTCATTTGAGTCATACCTCCTGTCCTCTTCCTTCTCTTTCCTTCTTTTTTCTTCCCCTTTAAAATATTTTGGTTTTTTTGTTTTGTTTTTTTTAAGACAGGGTTTCTCCGTGCAGTTTTGGTGCCTGTCCTGGATCTCGCTCTGTAGACCAGGCTGGCCTCAAACTCACAGAGATCCACCTGGCTCTGCCTCACCAGCACTGGGATTAAAGGTATGAACCACCACTGCTGGTGGGAGATGATTTTGGTATGTGTCCCAGGCTAGCTTTAAACTCTTTATATAGCCTTTATGACCTTTGTTTGGAAATCCCTCCTCTGTGATCCAAGTGCTGGAATTACAGGCATAAAACATCCCACTTACCTTACTCCGCACGCCCCCCTCCCCCTTTTTTTTTAAGACATGATCTCTTTACATAGCCCTGACTGTCCTGGAACTCATTATGTGAGAGGCTGGCCTCCAACTCAGAGATCCTTCTGCCTGTTTCCCAAGTTCTGGGATTAAAGGCATGTGCCACCACACCCAGACCACCTCTTTGCTTTCTAATGTGTACATCTTTGTCCTATTTATTATTGAATTGTTCCTTCCATTATCCTTCATAGGTGACTGAAAATTTTCATTTATTTTTATGGTAAATACATATGGTCAGAATTATCAATGTAATTCCTATTCTGTTTGTTTTTGTTTTACTTTGATTCTTTTCTATCTATATTTTTTAATATTTAAGATTTGTATTATCTTAATAATTATATAGTAGATTTCATTCTCTATTTTTGTATAGTATCTATTAATGCTGTAAAAGAATTGGTAGGAAAATGTTCTCATTCCATTTCTGATTTCAGTTTCTGTTTCTTACCTGATATTAATCAATAAAACTCATCTTTCAAAATATTTATATTTTGAAATATATGCCAGTGTTATTGGCTAATTAGCTTATAAAACAACTTGTTGATTCCCATGATTATGTCTGAAGAACCAGCAGACTGGGCCTTCCCTTCCCATTCAACCTTTGTGTGTTGCTTTGTACATAATCTAAGCAAATAACATTTGCATTTGTCAGTGTCTGAGTCAGATTTTTGCTGCTATAGCAAAACACCCCATAGCAGTAATCTGTGAAGGACAGAGGTCATTTCTTTCCAGCTTTGCAGGGTGAGTGTGACCAGACGATGCTGCTCCACTCACACGGCAGCATTAATCATGAGGCTCTCATGCATTAAATAAACGCTGCCGGTCCCACCTCTTGATATTGTTGCCATGGCAGTTAAATTTCAGTATGACTTAGGAGAGGGTAGTCAAGCCATGGAAGTCTGTCAGTCCAATCTTCACATGTTTTAAAAGTCTTATTTCTGTAATAAAACATGTCACATCTCTCCAGCTGTTCTTTGGGCACTTCTGCAAATGGGTTAAGTAAACCGAAGCACAAGTCTTAGCAAAGTGCTTTCATTTAGGAACAGTATTCTCTGAGGTCATGAATTTTCAAAATTGTTTGCAACTCCATCTTAATTTGACTGACTGGTTGGAAAATTCTTGCATCTCAATTTCTTTACATGAGTCTTATGGGGAATTTCTCTAATTGGTGTGCGGGGGATTGAATATAATAATCTGAATTTTTGCCTGCTTGTTTAGTGTTCTTTTATTAATCTTTAAAATCCAGTGTCATTACTGAAATGTCTCTCAGTTTTGACCATTATAGGTTAATTTGTATGGATTCATGTCACTTACCTCTGGCTTTTATTATTTTAAGCGCCAATTAAAAATTATTATAATGTTTGTTCATAATGTTCAGTATTCCACAACAATTTTTTGTTGCTTTTTGATATATTGGTAAATTATTTAAAACACATTTTGCTTTCATTTTATCTAATCTTTTCTTCTTCCTGCTGCTTCGGAAAGATTTCCTTTAAAACTTTCAGGTGGTAAAACTGACTGCATTTGGTTTATACTTCTCTTGATTTGGTCAAATGCACAGTCATCGTGACTAACAGTTTCATCACCTCCCCAAATTACCCTAGACTTGTCCTCTGTGGGGCTGTTTATTGATGCTGCACCAAATCCTTGTTTATTACTCATCATTACATGGACGGACTGTTGTAGATCTGCTGTTTGCACGAACTTGTGCTGGGGTTAGGGTGGAGCTGCTGCCTGGCCTTCCACTCCCCTTAGGTTCCCAGGTCCTCCTGTTGGGGGAGCTCCTCTGTGTCACTCCTCTCTGGGGTGCTTCTGGCCACCATGCTTGTCTCCTTCTCTTTCCCAGGACTCTGTTTATATCTTGAGATGACGCAGCTTCTTACCTTCCTCATTACTGTCCCCCCAAATCAAGTTTTCATACAAAAGCTTCCTGTGCTACTCCAATCCTCTTTACCTTTCCCAAACACATTCCCCCGCAATGATTTGCTTTATCTTCTCACTTCTCCTTTTCTTCTTTTTTCCAAATTGTTATATCCATGCTTAGAAGCATTAACAGATACTCTGCTTCTATTAGGAACCGGTTCTCCCCTCTTGCAAGAATTAATCTCTCACCTATTCTTCTGCAATACATTGTCCATTTTTAGAACATTTATCTTGTTGCTTTCTGTACTTATTTCCATATCATTAATACACCAGTGTACAATTCTAGTACTAATGTGTAACCAGCCAATACAAAATCGAAAAGAATGTCCATCCAAGGATAGACAGTTCTTACCCTCCCTTAGCCTTATTTGATTTTCCATGTATACAATTGAAAGGTAGACTTTTAATTTTGGTTCATCTAGAATTTCTGTTTTTATTTTCAGAGTGATTTAACCATGCCAAAGCAACTTTTCTATTCATGGGCAGCAACAAAACCTCCCTTAGGTTTAGAACTTTTATAAACTTTTGGAAAGCACGGTAGCCGTTAATGGAGACTCTTTTCACTGCAGGTGACGCAACGGTGACAATAGCTCACAGATACACTCCCAGAGAACAACTGAAGGTCCATACCCAGCTGGCAGATATTGTCATCGTGGCTGCAGGTAAGACCATCGTGACTGCTAGTTGGTGGAATGACATGGTAGAGTCATTGCTGCCCTAATTTCTGATGCGTTGAAAGAACGTACGGGAGGCACACATAGGTAAACGTATGACTAACTTCTGTGGACTGAGTTTCGTCTCTATGTAGTCATCCTATTGGCCAATTGTGCCCTATGTTAGCATCTGTCACCCCCAATGGGAAACACAAATGACCTTTGCAATGATGGATGAAGCACAGGAACAAATGTGCACTTTCCCAGTTTGCTTTGGCAAACATGACTGAGTAACAGTTATGGAAACCGATCGGTGCCAGTTGTTGTTTTTTGTTTTTCACTCTTTTGGGGGGCCTGCCACCCAGCTCCCAAATAAATCACTCACAGAGGTTTATTCTTAACTATGAATGCCCAGCCTTAGCTTGGCTTAGTTTCTATCCAGCTTTCCTTATCTTAAATTATGCTGTCTGTGTTTTGCCTCTGGGCTTTTCCCACTCTCTTACTTCCATAAATCTTACTCTTACTCCATGGCTTGCTGGTTGTATAGCGGGGTGACTGGACCCCAATGTTCTCCTCTTCTCTCTTGTTCCTCCTCTCTCCCAGTTTTTACCTATATATTCTCTCTATCTGCCAACCCTGACTATCCTCTCTTCCATCTTGCTATTGGCCATTCAGTTCTTTACTAAACCATCAGGTGTTTTACACAGGCACAGTAAGTATCACAGCTTCACAGAGTTAAACAAATGCAACACAAACAAAAGTAACATACCTTAAAATATTCTACCGCAGCCATTCATGTCTTATAGTTTCAGGAAAAAAGAAACTGAATTTGATCTTGAAAATTGTGTTGGTGAAAAAAGAATGTCTAAGTGAGAAAGAGACATACAACCACCCTGCGACTCTGACTGTACCCACGCTTGAGGCGTAGGCTTTGGAGTCTTGACTTTAAAGGACTAGACCCAATGTGGGCATCTGGTGGGAGAATGAGGTCATTTGCAGGAAGTATGGTGTGTGAAATTCGGTGCAACAAACATGTCTGGTTTGTAGGAAAGAAGATATATAAAGAAGATAAAAAATGTGTTTTGTAAAGAATAAGGAAAAAGAAGAGTCAAACTCAATTTTATTATAAACAGAACCCTTTAAAGCCACCAATTCTTGGTGAGCTCCCTGTCAGTGTGGTTATCAGGAGGAATTTTTTAAAGTGTTCTAGAGAAATATTTGCTAATTTTAGGAATTAACTCTTGCCATATTCTGAATGACATAAGTATTTCATACTTTTTTATTTGTGTTTTTAGAATATTTGAACAGATCTACCAGAATGTCCATGCACTGAATACAGTGTTATAAGCTATGCTCAATGAATATCAGTATTTCTTTTAGTTTTGAGATTAGGTTATTCTGTATTTTAATAAAGAAAGAAAAGTATGTGAAATATAGTGAATATGGATATGTTTAGTATAACATGTTTAAATTTATTAGTTTTAATCAATAGAGTAAATAAGGTAAACTGAATGATATTTTAGATCCTAGAAATGGCTAGAGTACAGAGTTTATATGTATGATTAATTTATTTAGAAATACTGAGAGTCGACTGCATGTCTCTGATTTTAGCAGACATGAATAGTTTTAGATAGCGAAGGAAGGATTGAATTTATTCACCCAATAATTATTGGACTCTTGTGCAGCAGGATTGTTGGGGCTTTATAAACAGGCTTTAAGGGGCTCTGTTTATAATAAAATTGAGAAAGGATACAATAGTTGATAAAATGACAAAGCCTGCCCATTGTAGAGCTTATATTTTTGTGGGAAACAGCAAAAACAAAACAAACAAACACAAAAAAAACCCAAAGCAAAGCAAAAAAAAATACACAATCAATTTAAAACAATGTCAGGTTAAGATAAGGGCTATAGAAAGAATATGAATGAGACAGCATTTTAGATATTGATCTGTAGCTGGAGTTTTTTCCTGTGTCTCACCTGGTCTACAGCCACTCAGACCCAAGTAAACACACAGAGGCTTATATTAATTAAAACTGCTCAGCTATTAGCTCAGGCCTACCACTGACTAGCTCTTACATTTAAACTCAGCCCATTTCTGTTAATCTATATATTTCCACATGTTCCATAGCTTTACCTGTGTGCCATTACATGTTGCTTCCTGGATGGCAGGCTGGCATTTCCTGACTCAGCCTTCCTCTTCCCAGAATTCTCCTCTGCTTATCCTGCCTGGCTACTGGCCGATCAGCATTTTATCAACCAATCAGAGCAACACATATTCACAGCATACAGAAAATCCCACAGCACTGGTCACTGAAAAATAATTTTCAAGAAATGGCCATTGAGTAGAGTCTCCTTCCTAGTCATCCATCTGTCCACTGTACCTTGTCCTACTTTGTTCCAGGGAGGTTGATGAATGTAGACAACCTGACCTGTATATTTTGGCCACTGGCTTCTGCCAAATTTAGCACTGCAGGAAATTTTAAGGGAAGGGAAAGAAAGCTGAGGGTAGGCTATTTCTTCTCCTCTACCTCCCTTCTGCTTCTCTCTCCTGTATCTATGGCTTATGCTGGTAATCCTCTGCTCACAGCTTGGGCTCTCACTGGGCTGTAGTAGTGGCCCATCCTCCACCTGTCTTTCAGGAATGGAATGCCCATGTTTCCTCCAGTCTCTAGCACCCCAGGCTCTCAACAGCCCCAAACAGCTCTGTAAAACTTTCTTTATCATATGATGGTTTGAGGTGGATTCTGTGACCTGTGTAAAGTGGAAGAAATATTTAAGGAAGCATCTTTGAGAAGAACATTTCAAGCAGTAAGAAAAGAAATAGGAAGTCCTTAGAGAGGGATGTATGTGGTATGGTCCAAAATGGATATCCTGGGGTACATTATGTACATAATGTACATTAATACATTATGAAGGATAGTATAAGAAATACTGTGGGGAAGATAGCCAAGGTCACCTCATTTGAGATCTTAAAGCTATGGTCTTTGGTATGAGCCAAGGATTGAGAAGAGGGCAGGAGATAAGCTCAGGCTTCTGAAGCCTCCATAGACAGTCAAGAATGGTTCCCTAGAGAGCCAAGCAGAAACAGAGAAAGGTTATTAGGATTTCATTTACTGGACCCAGTGTTTTCCAGTTTGGGGCCTTACTTGGCATGTAGTATTTATTTCCTCTTTGTAGTCAATTGTTGTATTCCTTGCTATATCCAAAGCTTGAATGATAGATAACCACTTTTCTGTTTAATTATATGCTACTGGTAGTTTCTAGGCTTTAAACTTCACAAGTATTTATAAAATATGAAGAGAGTGTAAAAGCTCCAAGTGGAATCAAGTTTGATGAAAGAATAGTGGCAGTTTAAATTAGTTTCAACTAAACTTAATTAAACTTTGTCTTCTTATATAGGCATTTTTTTCTGAATATGGTAAGTCAAGAGGCAAGGGTTTGTTCCTTTTAGAATGAAAATGGAAGTACCCTTGTCCGGGAGTCATTATTAGTAAGCTGCTACACTTAATTACACCTCAGAGGTTAGATTCAGGTGCAAAGCTTTGAATAAGACTGAAAGAAGGAAGGTGTATTTAGAGATGCAATGGAGTTTTTCAGAGCACAGACCAACAACTAGTGAAACACAATGCATTCCTGGGAGACAAATAGCGGGTTGATGTCCTAGAAACACTTGTATCCACAGGTAAGACTCAGAGTGTGATGAGCAGAGATTGAGTGCTCACCCTTCCCACTTATCTTTAGACAGGACCAACTTTATATTTTGAAAGTGGTGTTTTTAATGTTAATGACTTATAAATAGTGAACCATGCTCCTCAAAGTTTGCATTTATCAATTATAAAATTGAATGGATATTTTACTCTAGTGGGAGAAACATTTCTCAGCATGTATTTGTGCTCATGTTTTGTCTTGTCATCATGACAAATGGCAAATCCTCTTGTGAGATCCACTGACAGTCTCTTGTGATTGAATCAAATCTTACGTGGTCACAAGTCATGATGCCCATCCCCAAGTTTCTCCCATGGGTTCTTTCTTTTTTTTTCTTATTAATTTTTTTAATTCATTTTACATACCAACCACAGATCCCTGCCTCCGCCCCCCTTAAAGTTCTAGATCAGAATCAAACTTATGGTGTTACAAAAGATGAGAAAGGGAAATAAAGAGGGGTGGAAAAGGAAAGAACTGAGCACATCTAAGATTAGCAAATAGGGCTCAGGACATAGAAGGGCCCTGGATATGGTCTTGTTGATTAGTTTCTTCACTATATAGCCATTTCCCCGGAAGGATCCTCTTAACCACCAGAGGGCTCCAGTCCTGTTTTACATGAAGGTAGCTTGGCCATAGGCTACCATGGCAAGAAGACATTTTGAGGGAAGGGAGTGGGAATGAATCGTATTCCTTGTCTTGATTCTACCTGTTATGCCTCTCACTAGTTACAAAGACACACTGAGTGCCAGAGGACAGCCCAACATGTAGCCCTGTGATCATCCTGAAGAAATAAATATTTAGGTGTGTGAATTTTCCAGGAAGAACATTGAGACTTTGTGGGGGACAAATAAAGATTGTTTTTATGTTTTCACTCTATTTATTAATAGAATTTAAAGATAAAAATGAAGATATTGGTAATTTTACAGTAATGACAGGAAATAAGAATTTGTACTAAAAAGAGGTTTCTATAACTACACCATAGTAATAAAGTATTGCAGAAATGACCACACCACACATCCCAGGTGGGAAATCAGCAAATACAATTAGCATTGGGTATTGAATAAGTAGAGCGTGATCTAATGGCAGAGGCAGCCAGGGCAGGGAGGGCTGGATCAGCTGACACAACTAGAATGTCAGCATATATGGAAGCAGTCCCATCTGGAAGTCAGAAAGAGCAGGGGGAGGAGTGTGGGATGTGTCAGAAAGATTGATAATCTTCCTGAGATGACAGTGAAGAATTTGGTGGTGAAATCTGGAAACGGGCTTACAGAAGGAGAGTAAAAGAAGAAGTCACTGTGTAACAA